GATGGAGGGAGGGGCAGAGAGAGAAAGAAGGAAAGAGAGAAACACATGTATCAATGTGAGAGAAACACATCGATTCTGCCTCCTGCACGCCCCCTGACTGAGAATCAAACTGGTGACATTTTGGTGCATGGGATGAAGCTCAACCAATTAAGTCTCACTGGCCAGGGCATGATTCTAATCTATTTTAACTCAGTTTTATTATACATTGAATATATAATGAAGCATATTTATAATATAACTGTAATATGTAAGTAATTAAAAATAAACTGCACACTAGTTTAAGAACTAGCCATATTTCAGTGACTCCATTTTTTATGTATACCCTTATTTTATGTATCACTGAGAAAGAAAAGTTGATGCCAAGTATAATTTTAAGATACTTTAGCTTATAAGATACATCCTCATCATATATATATATATATATATATATATATATATATATATATATAATATTTTCATTGATTTCAGAGAGGGAGAGGGACACTTCAGTGATGAGACAGAATCATTGATCGGCTGCCTTCTGCACACCCCCCAACTGGGGATGGAGCCTGCAACCAGGTGTTTCCAATTAAAGAAGGACAACTGTCTATTAATCCATACTTCAAAAACCCAGCCTGGAGGGCATGAGGGGAGAAAGTTATATTATAAAATGATTAAGTGAAATGATCTTTCCTAAGACAAAAACCGAACAGAATGTAACCACTACAGGTGTTTGAGTTAGTTATATTAAAAAGAAAAAGTGATTTCACCATACAAAAATGTGACTTGGTACAGAAAACCTTTTCTTCCTTTTTTAAAAATTCTTTTCATACCCACTCTGAGAGGGAATGGCTACAAATAGGACAGGGGAGAAACATGGGGCATGTGTGTCAGGGAGACAGAGAAGGCATGGAATGTGTATGGGAGTCCATAAAGGGAACGTTTTATGCACCACTTGCCACAGAGAGGAGACCTCCTTGGAAGGCAAATGACGGCATCCTTTGATAGCAGTGACCGATGAAGAACAGAAGGAAGAAAATGAACGGTCGAACACGCCGCCGCCCCTTTGAACTGTTAGGATGTAAGAACCAGAGGAGTCCTGGCCACATGGGAACTAGATATTAAAGAAAGTACCCCTGAAGGTAACAATGGGAGAAAAAAAACACCTTCATACTGAGAAACTGGGAGCGTTCTGCTGCTACCTGACTCTCTCTCCTCAGGGTCCACTTGCAAATAGCTGGTGCAGAAAAATCAAACCCATTCAAATAAAAGAGTAAAAACAGCAGTATTGATACAAGAGCATTATAGGAAAAAGCAGAGAGAGAAGCAAAAGTCTGACTATGAAGAAAACCAATCAAAAAGAGTTATTACAAAATAGAGGAAAATTAGATCCAGCACGCGTTGATTCCCTGGGCTGTGCCGGAGCGGGAGGCGCGGTGCCCGGTGCCCGGTGTGTGTCTGGAGAGCCCTCCCCGCAGAGGGGGACAGGTGAAAAGTCACGGAGGCACAGAGGGGCCTGGCGACCGAGAGCCCGGAGGAAACCAGCCCGGGAAAGCGCCCCAGAGCGGTCCCCGGGGGATGAGCGACCATCGAGTCGCCCCGACCTCCGAGCGTCCTAGAGAGGAAACGGAAGGGACCCTCCCCTTACGCACCTGTCTGACAGCGTTCGCTTACTTCCGGTCCTCGGAGGGCACCGGGGAGCTTGGTGCGGTTGCGGGGCTTTGGGTGAGAGGCGGGTTGGGGCCACGAGGCACGTTGGAGATCGGGGGCCGGGGCCGGGGCCGGGGCCGGGGGCGGGGGCGGCGGCGGCGGGGCTGGCCTTGCGGGAGGCGGGTCTCTTCGGGGCTGGGTACCGCGCACCCGGGCCTGGCGGGCCGGGCCCCGGGCGGTGCGGGTGGAGGGCCGCCCGCGGTTGGCTCAGGTAGGAGGAGGGGATGCTGATCCCGCCCGCCGGGGTCGTCGTCCGCGTCCTGGAGACCCTGCACCAGAGCAAGACTCTCTGAGACGTGAGAGTAGTGATTGTAGGGCAACACGTAGGATAGCGAATAGTTACGGGGCGCCTTCTGTTTGTCAGGTGTCAGGAAGAAAAGGTGAGTGAGGACTTTTCTTGCCTTCTGGGAATCTGGTCGACAGAGACACGTGGGTAAACAATTTGCGCTGTCGTGGGATGAACGCCATAGCTAGAAAGTCATAAAAGAGCAAGCTCAATAGATGCAGGAGAGAAAATGAATAGACTGAAAGTGTAAAATAGGTTTAAGAAGAGTCAGGAAATACATAGACACCAAATGGGGTATATATTCATTTATTTTTAATTTTTTTATTGATTTTTCCACAGAGAGAAGGGGAGAGGGATAGAGAGCTAGAAACATCGATGAGAGAGAATCATCCATCAGCTGCCTCCTGCACATCCCCTCCTGCACATCCCCTCCTGCACATCCCCTACCAAGATACATGCCCGCAGACGCTCTATCCACTGAGCCAAGCCGGTTTTGGCCCTAATGGGGTATTTAAGCAGAAGCTTCGGATTTGCCTCCTACCAGTGGCTCATTCTTTGCTCCATTTAGAGTGATGTTCCCTCCCTCTAATAGCTGAGTCCCTTACCTGCTTTGGAGTTCTAGGTCCATTTCCCCAGCCTAAGTCACTGCCTTTGCCCCACAGTGGAATTAAACAGTACTCATTCTGCCAAGACCGGTTTGGCTCAATGGATAGAGCGTCGGCTTGGGGACTGAAGGGTCCCGGGTTCGATTCCAGTCAAGGGCATGTACCTTGGTTGCGGGCATATCCCCAGTAGGGGGTGTGCAAGAGGCAGCTGATCGATGACTCTCTCTCATCGATGTTTCTAACTCTCTATCTCTCTCCCTTCCTCTCTGTACAAAATCAATAAAATATATTTTAAAAAAAAATAAAAAATAAACAGTACTCATTCTCCAATGTAGTACAAGCCTCTTTTTTTTTCTCATGAGTACTTGATCCTACATTTACCTTTATCTTTTTGGCTTCCCATGTTTCTCATCTAAACCATGTATTTTGGGAAGCTGACCTTGGCCAGCCATCTCATCTCTTACATCTTCAGTTTTTGCATCTTGAAAAGTAGGGGAAGTAGTACTCACTATACACAATTGTTGTAAGTATTAAATGAGGCTATGTGTTCACATGCTTTCTAAATGGTAACGCCTATACAAATTAGCACTCTTTCAATTATGATAATGGTATATATGTTGCTCTGTTGTCTTTAGGTTGAGCAAACACTCAAGCTACCAACCAGTAAATCTATTGGGTTTGCCTCCAAAATATGTCTTGACTTTGTCTGCTTCTTTGCCGCCATCCTGATTCAAGTCCTGTCATCTGCTTGGACCACAGTAAGTGCTGCTTCCCTCCTTTCCTCTCTGTTCTCAATACATTGCAGGCAAAATGACCTTTGTAGAACATGTAGCCCCCTACTAAAACAAGAAATAAGAGTAAAGCCTTTAATCCTTTTTAAAAAAAATATTTTTATTGATTTCAGAGAAGAAGGGCAAGGGAGAGACATATAGAAACATCAGTGACAAGAGAGAATCATCGATTGGCTGCCTCCTGCACTCCTGCTGGGGATCCAACCCACAACCCAGGCATGTGGGAATCGAACCCAGGACCCTTCAGTCCGCAGGCTGACGCTCTGTCCACTGAGCCAAACCAGCTAAGGCAAGCCCTTGGTTTCTGCATGCCCCTGCTTCTACTTGAGTAGCTCTGACCATGACCTACTCTGCTGAAGCCACACGGCACTTTGGCTTGTTATCTGACATGCAGAATAATTTTTATTCTCAGAGCTTTGCCTGGAATGCTCTTTGAATGACTGGCTCATTCTCATCCTTCAGGTCTCAGCCTTAGTGTCATCTCTTTAGAAAAGTCTTCTTGAAATTATTTATTCCCCACTAACAGAATACTCTACTTATTTCCTTTCTAGAACTTATCCCAATAGACAGCTGGGTGGACTGGTATATGTCTCATTTGTGGTGGTTGTCAAGGATAAGCATCTTGTCTGTCTTGTTTTCTATTGTATTTCTAGTTTCTGTGGGTCTGGCATATATACGTATTGAATGTTTATGTCCTTTAGTTTTGGAAGAGTGAGTCCAGGTGACTGACCTAATTATCACCCATCTTATATTATTATCTGATTAGAGTGTTAGCTCCCTAACAGGTACTTGAGGGTAAAAGCTAAACCTTGTACATTTTACATTCTCAGCTCATACTAGGTGGTTAGCAAATAACTGAACTGAATTGACATGATTTTCAAGACATATGCTCAGTCTCTTGAAAATATCTCCTAAAACAGTCCTAACTCCGGTTTGGCTCAGTGGTAGAGCGTTGGTCTGTGGACTGAAAGGTCCTGGGTTCGATTCCAGTCAAGGGCATATACATTGGTTGCGGGCACATCCCCGGTGGGGGGTGTGCAGGAGGCAGCTGGTCGATGTTTCTCTCTCATCGAGGTTTCTAGCTCTCTATCTCACTCCTTTCCTCTCTGTAAAAAAAACAATAAAATATATTTTAAAAATAAATAAATAAAACAAACAAACAAACAAACAAAAAAACAGCCCTAATTGGTTTGGCTCAGTGGATAGAGCATCTGCCTGCGAACTGAAGGGCCCCAGGTTCAATTCCGGTCAAGGGCATGTACCTTGGCTGCGGGCATATCCCCAGTAGAGGGTGTGCAAAAGGCAGCTGATCAATGTTTCTCTCTCATTGATGTTTCTAACTCTCTATCGTTCTCTCTTCCACTCTGTAAAAAAAAAACACAATAAAAATTTAAAAAAGGAAAAATGTCTCCTAAAGCAGCAGTTGCCAACCTTTCTGACTTCATGGACCACCTGTAGTCCACGGACCACCACTTGGCGACCCCTGTCCTGGAAGGTTATTGCCATGTTCTCCAGTAGAATATTCAATGACGTAGAGACAATTAGGATGGACTGATCCATGTCTCATTTGTGGTCATTGTCTGTTTGTCTTCCCAACAGACCCTCAGCCTCCTTGATGAGAGTGTGAAGATGCTTAAAGAGCGTCCAGGGATGGCAGAAGTCCCTCAGCAGCAGATGGGTGTTCCTGTGGTAAAATTGGAGAAAGAGTTGCCATGGGGCAGGGGAAGGGAGGATCCTGGTCCTGAGACTTTTCGGCTGAGGTTTCGCCAGTTCCGCTACCAGGAGGCAGCCGGTCCGCAGGAAGCCCTCAGGAAACTCCAGGAGCTCTGTCGCCAGTGGCTGAGGCCCGAGCTGCACACCAAGGAGCAGATCCTGGAGCTGCTGGTGCTGGAGCAGTTCCTGACCATCCTGCCCCAGGAGTTCTATACCTGGATTCGGGAGCATGGCCCACAGAGTGGCAAGGCCCTAGTGGCCATGGTGGAGGCCTTCACAGAGAGAACGCTGGAGGCCAAGGCGGTGGGTGAGAAGGGTGTCTTGGGTCTGGTTTTGTTGGTGTGGTGAGGGGAGATTTAAAGATTTGGAAGGTTTGTGGAAGCGTGGGAGTAGATGAGATGGAGAATCTTTCTCTGTGCCTGTAGTCCCGATGTACTTTTTTGAGGGGTGAAGGGGTATCAGTGGACTTTATAGCAAGAAAAGCCATTCCCAGGGATTCTTTTTTGGTCATCAGGGCAGGAAGCTGACCAGATGTTCCTTGTGAGCCTCAGACTCAAAAAAGGCAGTAGTGGTGGATTCCAACGTCCCTCCTAGACCCATTCCTCTTTAGGCAGAGCTGATGTGGGATGCAGGGAAGTCTACTAGGTGAATATTCTTTTTTTTAATTTAATTTTTAAAAAATACATTACTTGTGTTTTTTATTTGTGTGTGTGTTTTGTTTTCATCCTCACCTGAGGATATTTTTCCATTCATTTCAAGAGAGTGTAAGACGGAAATATAGAAACATCAATGTCAAACATCGATTGGTTGCCTCCTGCATGAACCCTGACTAGGGTGTGGGCTGGGGAGGAGCCTGCAACCGAGTATGTGCCCCTAACCAGAATCAAACTCAGGACCCTCTGGTCTGCAGGCTGGTGCTCCATCTACTGAGCCAAACCAGCTCAGTAAGTGAATGTTCTTACTGAGAAGAGGTGTCTGTAACCGTGCTGTTCCGCACCTGGGACGTTGGCTCAGATGGCTCACAGCGATCTGTGGTGGTGCTCTGGTGACATCACGTAACTGCACTGCAGGTGCTTCCTTGAGACTCTGGTCATGTCTCTGTCACTCTAATACAGCTACCTGATTTTGGGGAGAAAAAAAGAGTGACTTTTTCTCATTAGCTAATTTAAAACAAAATATTTTTTATTGATTTCAGAGAGGAAGGGGAGGAGAGAGAGAGAAACATCAATGATGAGAATCATTGACTGGCTGCCTCTTGCATGTCCCACAACGGGAATCGAGCCCACAACCCAGGCACGTGCCCCCACCGGGAATCGAACTGTAACCTCCTGGTCCATAAGTCGACGTTCAACCACAGCCATGCCGGCCGGGCTCACTAGCTCATTTGTTGCAGGGTGTAGGCTTGGTATTTTTTTTTTTTTTTTTCCATCATCTGCAACTGGAGAATTTTTTTTCTAGTAGTGAGACAATAATTTGGCTCTCTGTGATGTTATTTATGGTAGAATTTGACCTATATTGAGGCAGACAGAAGGGACCCTTGTAAAATGTCATGGATACACAGAAGTTGGTTAGAGTTTGAGAATGTAGTTTAGCTTCCTTTTCACCTTCAAACTGATGTCCTGGTGAAGAGCTGAGCCACCTTGTCCCTTTCCCCTGCAGCTGGGATGATTTTTTTATTGCCTCTCTTTGTAGATTTTATTCAACTCCTTTCATAACAAGGCCTCATTCTAAATAGGTTTTGGGGCCTGTTCTTAGGTTCCATGCCACGTGCAGGGGGAGCAGGAGGAGACGGCACTTTGCAGAGGCCCTTGGGAAGCAGGTGTCCACCTGGGACCAGTGGAGGTCAAGCCTGAGTGGGGGATGCCCCAAGGGGAAGGTGCTCAAGACCTCGACCAAGGCGCCGAGGAGCAGCTCAACCAGGACCCTGGTGCTGGGACACAGGCCTTCCAGGAGCCGGGTAAGATGCAAACAGGAAGGAAGTAAGGGCACGGGAAATGGTGCTTTGTGCTCTCTCCCTCCTCCTTTCCTTTACAAACCCAACAATTGATTAACTACGTGCAAGGTGTAATTCTGAGTTTTTCTGACTACTTCCTTGACTTCGTAGGAGAGAGATGAAGTAAAATACCTTCACTCTTCGATTTTATCAGGCAGTATCTCTTGGCATTTGTCTCCTTTCCCTCTCATCTTTTCTAGAAACCGTCAGGAAATAAGCAGCTGACAGGTAAAGATACTTTTAAGTTAGCAGACCAGCCACATCCCTAAAAGTAATGTGTGACTTTATTGTATTACTGAATCTCAAAGGGAACTATTTCCAGCATGGGGAGCATCCATTGTCCTGAAGGGACAGGTATATTGCGTTGGGACCATTTTCTCAGCTGAGAACAGGAGAGAGTACACTCAGACCCCTATCTTTCTGGAGTCTTTGGGTCCTAGGGTTCTGTGATCAGCAGTGGACCCTTTGAATGAGCTAACTGTAAGACAGCATTAATCCTGCTCATGTTTTTTCTATCTGCTCAGCTGTTCCAATTCTTCAGGCTGGTCCTGGCCTCCCCACAGTGAACACTAGAGACCAAGAGATGGCAGTTGGGTTCCTCACAGCTGGGCCCCAGGTGAGTTGTGTCTCTGCCTTTCCAGTGATCATGATGGAGCTTTGAATGGTTCACTTTCCCCAGGATTTCTCTGCACAACGGACCTCCAGCCACAAAGTGGAATTATTCTACCTTCTTGTCCTGACCGGCTTTGTTCTCTCCACTTCACCGCCCCCAGTTGTTAATGTGAACTCAGCCTGAGCCTTATGGTCCAGGCATAAGGCCCAATTCACTTGTTTGATTATTCTCTTGAGTTGTTTTAATTGACCACTCTTTTAATAGTGAGGAGGAAGGCATTGTTGATAGAAACCCATAAGCCTGACGTAGGCTGTGGTAGTTGGTCAGGAGATCAGTAACTCTTTGTAGATACTTTGCTGTTGTTCTTCCTTTGGACCTCCCCACTTCCCCTTTCTCCCCCCAAGTCAGGAGGAGTGTAGCTGACTGAGGGTTGGGCCTCTCAGGAGTGCTGAGGAGAGTGATCTGTCTGGTCCCTACTTAAGACCAAAATCAGGAGTTTTGGTCTTGTTTGCACTTCTTAGCCTGCTGTTAGTTGGGGTAACTAGAGCAAAGGTGGGGCACTCTTGCCACAGTGTAAGTCTCTTCCAGGAGATTACCAGGGAGGTGTGATTTCCAGTATGGCACCTTTCTAAAAGGGACAATGAGTATTAAAGTGAGGAGTTCATAGTAAAAGGGAAAATGTCATTTGTCAAAAAAAAAAAAAAAAAAAAAAAGAGAGAGAGAGAGAGAGAGAGAGAAGTGAATCAAGTCTGATCTAGCTAAAGCAGAATTAGGCAAGATTTGATGCCTGTGTCATTTCCTATCCTGTGTTCTCTGGACAGGGTTTGGAGAAAATACAGAATGACAGCAGTGTGTTTTAATTTGGTCAGACCCTCCTTGTCTACCATAATAGTTCTTTATGGTATCATGAATGGCATTGCATTTATTTTAACAAGGCATTATTAAGACAATGTTTTAATAATGCCTTGTTTACTTATTCCTGAGGGTAAATTTAATAATGCCTAATGTTTACTTATTTCTGAGGGAAAATTAGTTCGAGCTGACGGGGTAAATAATAGCTCTCAGCTCAATCAAGTTTGATGATTGAGTGGAGGAGATTGGAAAGTAGAAGTTGGATACTGTGTTTAGTGGGTACAAACTAAGCATCTGCAGCAGAAACTCAAAAATAAAATGGCTCAAACAAGTCCATTATTCTGTCATTAAACTGTCTAACGGCAGGTACTTCTGCTCCTAAAGCCAGCTGGGAACACTGTTCCTTCCATTTTCTGGCTCTGTTCTTTCCTAGAGTTTTGGCCCCTGTGGTCTCTCTGCTTTTGGTTTGCTCCTTCTTCGGGATCATTTCTTTACCCGCAGTATGTCCTGTTGTTTCAGGGGCTGGGACCATTTAAAGATATGGCTCTGGCCTTCCCGGAGGAAGAGTGGAGGCATGTGGCCCCGGCCCAGATAGACTGCTTTGGGGAATACGTGGAGCCTCAGGACTGTGCAGGTAAGACTGTTTCCATCCCACAGCTAAGAAACGGGCATTTTGGAAGCTAACCTTGCCCCAGACTTCAGAATCTGGTGCTACTGACAAAGGAAGGGGGTTTCATGCAGATAAGTACACAGGACCAGAGAAAGAACACGGGCCAAGGGCGTGAGAACTGGCTCGGCGCATTCCTGTGTCAGGAGAGGAGCAGGCAAGGGCAAGAAAACACACGGTAGTTACTCTGTGATGAGGCAGGTTGGTCATTAGGATCCTCTGAGCATCTAATCTGTGTCCATCATTGAAGGATGCTGAGGGCTTGAAATTAAGAGAAAACCAGCAAAAGATGGGTCCTCTGATCTCGTTCATTCAGCACGTATTTTTTGAGTCCCTCCTATGTAGGTCCCACATTAGTAGCTTTGTGTTGGAAAGAACTAATATACCTGAAACCTTTGGAGCATGTAGAGTGTCTCAAGGAGGGCATGAGAAAGCATGGTAGGATTTTAGCGACAGGAGGTGTTGGCTGGACCTGTGTCACTGAGCAAGCAGAGCCTCCATTTGGCCTCTCGTCTGGTGGCTGGGTTTTACCTGAGGTGAGAGCGGGGAAAACTTGGTCAGCATGAACATGAAAAGAGCTCATAGGAGGCGGAGTAGCAGGAGGGAAGAGTTTAGCAGGGTAAAGGCATGCTTGGAAAGCCAGTGGCTTTCCTAGGGGCTTGGGGACTTGCAAGTGAAGAAGAATAGTGTGGAAAATCTCTGGGCTGAATGGGAAGCACAGTGGGGACAGGAAAAGAAATGTGGTTGGCCTTTCCTTTGTTTTGTCTAATTCTCTTTCCCCCTTTTAGAACACTGTTTCTTGGCATTATGAGATAATAAATCTAAACATTTGGCAAGCATGGTAACGTTAGATATTCTTATTAGTTGTACAAGTATTATTAAGTAATTACTTTATGAGTCAGTAAGTATTCATTCATTTATTCACCCAAAAATCTTTATTTGGCATTTACTCTGTGGCCAACACTCAAGTAGTCACAATGAAGAGTTAAAAATGAAGGTGCTTGACTCTATGATCTTAGCAGTCCTATGAAGACCCCAAATACCTGTAATAATACTCATTATGGAGTAGTGGAAGTTTCTCAGATAACTGCCCAGTGCAAGGCCTTGTGCAGCATGTCTCAAATGGAGGTACCATCATTCTCACTTCCTGCAAGGAATTTACCTCTGTGAGTGATGTGACTGTGTGGGGGAAGGATTCTGCCCTCGTGTTCCCACAGGTTTTTTACTGGCCGTTTCTGACTGTATGTTTGTCCTCTTATCCACTCATTGTTTCAAACGTTTCCCTAAGCATTTATGTTGAGGCTGGGTGAGATGAAGTTCTGTTTCCCAGGCATACCATCTTCTAGCCATCACAACCTTCAGGTCCTCCTGAGATTCATTCCAAGTAGTTGCAGCTCTTTTTTTTTTTTTTTTTTAAATATATTTTATTGATTTTTACAGAGGAAGGGAGAGAGATAGAGAGCTAGAAATGTCAATGAGAAACATCAACCAGCTGCCTCTTGCACGCCCCCTACCGGGGATGTGCCCGCAACCAACGTACATGCCCTTGACCAGAATTGAACCCGGGACCTTTCAGTCCGCAGACCAATGCTCTACCGCTGAGCCAAACTGGTTTCAGCAGTAGTAGTTGCAGCTCTTGCATTGATAACTTTGTAAGGTCAGGCCTGAGAAAATAAACACAAGGCCCTGGCTGGGTAGCTGAGTTGGTTAGAGTGTCTTTCCATACATTAAGCTTATGGATTTGATTCCTGTTATCGATGTATAGATAAGTGGTACAACAAATATGATTTTTCTCTGGGTCATGTATTGCATTTAGTTTTAATTTTACTATTTAGAACATCTCAAAATTGGAAACTATCCAAATGAACATCAATGAAACTAAGAAATAGGTTGGAATATATTCTTACACTGTAATACTACAAACCAGTGAAAAAAGAATGTGGTGTAACAACTATAAACCATGATATGGGTAAATCTCACAAGCATAATACTGTTGAGTATAAGTCAGAAACAACATGTAAATCAATTGCGTAGAGTTTAAGAACAGACAAATGCACTTTATGGTGATAAAAGTCTGGATAGCATGTACCCTCCAGGCAGGATATAGTCACTGAAGGGGATGGAAAAGGAGTTTCTGAGGGCTGGTAATATTTGTTGAACTGGATGCTGTTTACAGGATTGTGTTCATTATGAAAATTCTTTGAGTGCTACATTTATGCTTTGTATACTTTAACTTTCTTGATAAGTTTATGAAACAAAAGAATACATCAGAAGTTGATACCTGTGTTCTTCATATTTTATCAAATCAGGAAGTATATAATTTCTGTGTTGTTTTTTGTAAAAAGTATATTTTTATTGATTTCAGAGAGGAAGGGAGAGGTGTAAGAGAGAAACAACAATGATGACAATTGGCTGCCTCCTGCATGCCTCTTAAGTGGGACTTGAGCCCACAGTTGGGGCATGTGCTCTGACAGAATTGATCTGTGACCTTCTGGTTTGTAGATCGGCTTTCAACCACTGAGCCAGATCGGTTGGGCAATTTCTGTTTTTCTTTCTTTTTAATCTTTTAATGATTGTGCCTAAAAGGATCTTTTTCCAATTTAAGCACCACTTGTCATTTCTCTCTTGGCTTCTTTGCTTCCTATTAACTTTTTCCTCTTTCCCTTCCTATGTTCTTCTATAAACAATTGTTTTGTTAATTTAGAGAGTGTAAAAGGGACCAGAGGAAGGACTTCTAGAATGGGCAAGGCATTTCAGTAGCATTCACAGGTATTTCAGTCTTACTAAAGATGTTATTGTAGAGGTGGTCTGGTATAAGAATGTCAATGACAAACTGGGTTCATTTGTTCATCCAGCGGTCATTAAGCACCTTTCATGAGTTAGTCCCTGTGCCAGGCTTCCAGGAAACCCAGACTAGTAAAATAAGACCAGGCAGAGGGAGCAGTGTGAGTAGGGAGGTGAGTGGAGCAGGTGAATGGAATAGCAGGAATTACTGGAATAGGTTTATAATCGTTGAGATGTTTGGATGAATATAAAGTAGCATTTACAGTGAGGTCATATATAAATAAGCGCAGAATAAACAAAGTGCTAATGAATACATGTGTGCTGAAGAGATCCATGGTGAAAGAATAAGCGGGGTGTTTTTTTTTAGAGGAAATTGTTGAATTAGATTTTGAAGGAAATAAATCTGAATTAGAAAGTTAAATGAGAAGACATTAAAATTTGGTCAACTACTCTATAAAAAGGCATGGAACTTGTCTTAGTTCAGGCTGCTATACCAGAATACTAAAGACTGGGTGAGATAAGTGGATAAAAAAGCTGTGGTACATTTATACCTCGGAATGCTATGCAGCTGTGAAAAAGAAGACTCTCTTACCTTTTGAGACAGCATGGAGGGACCTGGAGAGTATGATAACTGAAATAAGTCAGTCAGAGAAAGACAAGTATCATATGACCTCACTCAAATGTAGATCCAGAGACATGGAAGCATGGAACAGAGTGCAGAATCTTGGATGGAAGGGGGGGGGGGGGAAGAGTTGAGGGGAGGGGGAAGGTAATCAACCAAGGACCTTGCAAGCCCATAGACACAGACAGTGAGGCAGTGAGGGCCAGGGGTGGGGGTGGGGCATGGGCTGGAGGGGGTCAATATGAGAAAAATGGGGACATATGAAATACTTTCAACAATAATTATTTTTAAAAAGCAACTAAACAACTAAATAAATCTAAAAAAAAAAAAAAAAAAAAAAGTCTAGGTGATTTAAACAATGGACATTTATTTCTCATAGTTCTGGGGGCTGGAAAGTCCAAGATCAAGGTGTCAGCACCACACTTGTCTGTTTTCATGGGCTGTGCACTTAAGTTGTTTGGCTAATCTCTTCATCTTCTTTTATCGAGTCCCCGCTATCCCCCTTCACTCTGACATTTGTAGTCTGTTCCATGTATTCATGCCTCTGGTTCTGTTTTATTGTTTTATTCACCAGTTTATTTTGTTCATTAGATTCCACATATTAGTGAAATTATATGGTATTTGTCTCTCTCTGATTGGCTTATTTTGTTTAGCATAATAATCTTCAGGCCCACCCGTGTTGTCACAAAGGGTGAGAGTTCCTTTTCTACAGCCGAGTAGTAGTCCATTGTGTAAATATATCACAGCCTTTTTGTCCACTCTCCTACTGATGGACATTTGTGCTGTTTCCGGATCTTCACTATTGTAAATAACATTTCTGTGAACATAGGGATGCATGTATCTTTTCTGATTTGGTGTTTCGGGATTCTTAGGACATATACCCCAAAGTGGGATCGCTGGGTCAATAGGCAGTTTCATTTTTAATTTTTTGAGGAAATTCCATACTATTTTCCCCAGTGGCTGCACCATTCTGCATTAACATAAGTTTACTGTCATTGCTGTTACAGAATCAGTATGTATCTCCTTTGTCCTATAGGCATTGGGAGCAAGGAAAAAGAGGCCAAAATCCAGCAGGCTGACCTCAAGGGGGCGCTTGCTCAGGGGACCTCAGAGAGGTTTGGGGAAGCTGCTCTCCAGAGCCCTGAGCTTGGAAGAACCTGTGAGCAGGAGCCTGGTCATTCCATGGGGAACATGCCAGGGCCGCCGCCTCCCCCGCATGGCATCCTACCTGTTCCCGACGACCTCAAGACTCACAGCTCCTTCTGGAAGCCTTTTCAGTGCCCTGAGTGTGGAAAAGGCTTCAGCCGGAGCTCAAATCTCGTAAGACACCAGCGAACCCACGAAGAAGAGAAATCCTATGGCTGTGTTGAGTGCGGGAAAGGGTTTACTCTGAGAGAGTACCTCATGAAGCACCAGAGAACCCACCTGGGAAAGAGACCCTATGTGTGCAGTGAGTGCTGGAAAACCTTCAGTCAGAGGCACCACCTGGAGGTCCACCAGCGGAGTCACACGGGGGAGAAGCCCTACAAGTGCGGGGACTGCTGGAAAAGCTTCAGCCGGAGGCAGCATCTTCAGGTGCACCGGCGAACTCACACTGGGGAGAAGCCCTACACCTGCGAGTGCGGCAAGAGCTTCAGCAGGAACGCCAACCTGGCCGTGCACCGGCGAGCCCACACCGGGGAGAAGCCGTACGGGTGTCAGGTGTGTGGTAAACGGTTCAGTAAAGGGGAGCGGCTGGTCAGGCACCAGAGGATTCACACAGGGGAGAAGCCCTACCACTGTCTTGCCTGTGGGAGGAGCTTCAACCAGAGGTCCATTCTCAACCGGCACCAGAAAACTCAGCATCGCCAGGAGATTCCCGTGCAGTAAGGGTGCTCTGCGGAAATGCATTTTTTGTAAAACAAGGTGCTGGACAAGGCGGGACCTTCCAGGACCACCGAATGGAGGGAGACCGTTCTGGAGGATGTTATTCACCTTTACTCTCTGAAGGATTTGGAGGGGTTGGTGAGGTTACAGGGTGCAGGAAGACACCTTGACCCATTTGTTCAAAAGAGAAAGGGCAAGACCAGGCTCATTTTGAGTTCCCAGAGAGCACAGCCTCTCCTGTCTCTTACCCAACTAGTGCTAACAGTTTTCTTACCGTCTTTTGGGAAACGATTTCCTGAGTTTTAGTTCATGTTGAGGTTTTTCTCCCTCAGTGGGATGTTCATATCCACCTCCTGAGCAAGTCTGGTAGTGAAGGCAAAATTTTGTCCATTGTTGGCAGCTTGAACTAATTTTTCTGTGGTCTGTATCCTGCCTGCCAGGATATGGACTCTGTCTATTTCCTCCCCCAACTCTCTTTTCCACTTAAATATTTATTGAACACCTACTATATGCCTGGCACTGGGAAGATGGTGAATGAGACAGATGAAACCTTTTTCTCCAGGAGCTTTGATTTAGCATTGGAAACACACACAAAACCATTATCGTGTTCTGAGTCACATGTGGTGAGTGCTGTGTAAGAAGATACTCTTGTGTCACTCATTCTGCCCTTCCTGCTTGGGTGCTGGATCTTCCCCTCCCTGGTCGGGATCCCTCAGGCAGCCTCGTTTATTTTACTTTATTTGTAGCTCCCTTTGACACATTCTACCCTCATCTGTAAAGTTCCCCCATTCCATTCCTTGTATTATAACAACTGTCCACACATTTATTCGGAAATTAATATTTTGTTATCGATCACTAAATAAACATGAGAGTATTTTTAAAAGCATTCAGTTCTGTATAAAGATCTAATTAAGCCTGAAAGATGAACTACTATTAATACTCTATATTTGATGGCATTTTGCAGTATATAAAATGCTTTTCTCTGTGTTCTCACTTGATTAATTTCACACTTATTTATTGAGGCCCAACAGTGTGCCAGAAGCACTTGCAGGTGCTTGACATATATCAGTGAATAAAATCGGAAAATCACTGACTTCGTGGAGCTTACATTTTAGTGAATGTATTTGATCTTCAGAATCACCGAAGGTGGAATGCATGGATGCCCCCATGAACCCTCTGGACCTGGGATCTGAGTATAGCCTTGGTTCTGTCAGCTTCTTGCCCTGAAATGCATTTGCCATCTATGTCTTGTTACTGAATAATCTCTGTCCTCAGTGCATCTAAATCCTTGTCGTCTGAGGTGCCTGGGGTCTTGAATGCCAACTGGGTGATGAGATGGCAGAAATCTGTTTTGCATGAGTGCCAATTTAGGAAAAATAAATATGTAGGCGTTTAAAAATGCATTTCTTTAAAAATGAGAGAATGCAGTATTTGTAACTGTGTTTAAGCTTTTTATATTATTTTGCTATCACTAAAGGGTTTTCTTTCTGTTTGAAATTCTGAAGACCGTGTAATTCACATGGACTGCACTGCAGTGTTGTAATTCTGTGCCTCTGAATGCTGTCTGCTGAGTAAATTAGTCTTTTGACTGTGAACTATAATTGCAAGATGTAATTTGTCTTGTGATGCCTCTTAATATTCTTTCATTGGGATTTTTTATTTTTATTTTTGGTTGTAAATAAGATAAATGGTAATGACTTTAATACAAGGAATTGCAATATTCAGTCCATTTTGAAACACATTATTTCATCTGTTTATTGTCAGATAGTCGTGGTGTTTAATTTTGATTTAGCAAATGACCTGGCCCCTCAGCTGTCCCCTCCAGGCTACACTTACCAGGGTGTATCTGAGACATCTACAGTATGAGACTCTGGGCTGCTGCTACTTAGCAGCAGCGGGGTCCAGATGCAAAATCGGCATGTTTTTCCCTGTTTTCCAGTCAAACCAGGCAAAGCTTATAGCCACTTGGCAGCCAAACCTGATGGAAGCCCCTGCTTCTGGTCTAGACATGAGGGCTGACCTGGCCTAGAGTTTGGCTTTCTCTAGGAGGTCGTATTCCAAAGCTGGGTGGAAGCATGGGGCCACCATGTGGTCTTTCAGTTTACTTGAATTAAGTTGTAGATTCTCTTTGATCATACACTTAGCCAGAGACGTCTCTGGGTTTTTAGCCAGTTGGAATCTCCTGAGAGAAGCTTGGATAAAGTCAGGCCTTGCTGTCTTCCCATTTGGCTCCCCTGTCTGTTTAGAGACCAAAGCTTATGGATGATGCCTCAAAAATGTCTCAAAAGCGAATTTTCCTCATGGAAATGTAGTAGCCTTATTTTTATTTTATTATTATTTTTTAAATGATTATGGTATCACATAATTGTCCTCATTCTCCCAAACTTACCCCAAACCCCTCCCCATATATGCTCCCACCCCCCTGTTGTCCATGACCACTGGTTATAGTAGCCTTATTTTTAAATGTCAAATATTTTATTTTCTGTATATTTCTCTTTAGAGATTTGTTATAATAGGAAATTTCAAACATATATAAGTGAGTCCTCATGTGTTCATCGTTCTCCTTTAATCATTTTAAACTCATAGCCAATCTTGCTTTATTTCTAATCTCTCCTCTTCCTCCCCCATTGAAGTACTTTGAAGCAAATCCTAAATGTTGTTTATATTTTGGTGTGTACCTCTAAAAGGTAAGGACTCTAAAAGAATAATCATAATACTATTATCTTACCTAAAAAGTTAATAATTCCTGATTTCCCAATTAGTGTTTTTTTAAAAAAAACCCACATGCTTTTTTTTTTTTTTAGAACCTTTGAGTTAAGATTCAAGATCCATAATTATAACTTGTTGTTTTGTCTTCTAAATCTAATAATCAGTAGCTCCTATATTTTTTAAAATATATTTTATTGATTTTTTATAGAGAGGAAGGAGAGAGGGATAGAGAGCTAGAAATATCGATGAGAGAGAAACATCGACCAGCTGCCTCCTGCACACCTCCTACCGGGGATGTGCCCACAACCAAGGTACATGCCCTTGACCGGAATCAAACCTGGGACCTTTCAGTCCGCAGACCGATGCTCTACCCACTGAGCCAAATAGGTTTCAGCTTTTTTTTCCTTCTTGAAATTCATTCACTGGGACAATTGAGTTCTTTATCCTGTGGAGTTTCTTACATTCTGAATTTTGTTGTTTGTATACCCATAGTATTTAATATAGTTCTCTGCTCTCTGTATCAACTAAAAGCTTACAGATCTAGGGGTGTAACCAGATTTACATTTAACATTTTATCAAGAATATATAGAGGCTGGACTCAGAGAGTGTTGAGGACATTGATGGGGAGACCACTGAAATAATAGAGGAGAGAGTGGGAAAGAGCACAACCTCTGTGACTGAGAATCAGTTCCAGTCCTGAAACTAGGTTCAATAGAAGACTGGACTGGATTTTAGATAGTTTGGAATCTCTATTCAAGAAAAAACAAACAAAACACTTCCCTTTTGTTTTCTTTTGAATGTTTTATTTTACCATCCCTTCTTAGTGAAATACCTAAAGTCGTAATTCTTTTGTGCTTGATAAAGAAAGGCATGCCCTGATTTATTGGAGGAAAAGGAAGAATTTATGCTGCCAAGTCTGTAAGGATGGCTGAGTTTCTGAACTTCTTACAGTCGACCCATGTGCAGGATGAGGAAGAGAACATTCCTATCAATTTACCTGTCAGCAAGCAGCTTCTGGGCTAGGATCAGAGTCAATCTGAAAGGTGTTTGCTATAAGAGAATTTTCCTTCCTTAGAAGAGCCAGAAAGTCTTCTCACAATCCACCAGTAAGCAAGCTCAGTTGAAGGTCTTTCATATTTATTTATTGCTGCTCTTTCTCTTATTTAAAATTTTTTTTTTTTTTTTTTTTTTTTACCTTGAAGCCAATCTATTGTACTATTCACCATTATAGCAAACTAGAGGCCTGGTGCACGAATTCATGCACCAGTGGGGGCTGGCTGGCCTGCCCTGATCAAGGCCAAGATAGGGCTGGTGGAGGCAGGGCAGGAGAGGGGTGGGCAGTGGTGGGAATGCAGGAGGTTGGCTGGCTGGGGGAAAGAGCTGCAGCCTCCCCCTGGATTGGGGTGGGAGTGGGCCCGATTGGGGGTGGGCCAGGAAGGGCCTTGGGAGGTTGGCTGGCTGGCCCCGCCCCCAGGTTGAACTCCCAGTGGAGAGGACAATTTGCATATTAGCCTTTTTTTTTTTTTTATATATAGGATGTTTATTAAAGGAAGACCTCTTCATGTTTACATCAACTTTTTTACACACAATTTTTACATGTTTGAGGTGAGATTTTGTTACTTTTAATGTGGTTTTATATTAGAGACCCAGGGAAGTATAAATTCTGCCTTGGCAATCATCCCAACTCCTGGGGCTTCCAAGGAGACAATTTAAGGAACAATAGTAAACTTTGTGCCAAAGTACCACTTTGTTAGTATCTGAGTTGTACCCAATAACCTCCATCATTAGGGTCAGTGGTAAAAAGTGAGCTGGAAAATAGTCTAGGCCTACCTTCCTTCCCTCTCCAGCTCCAGATCTGAATTGAGGACCTGTGTGTGCAGGCATTGTGTGTGTGGTTGACTGGACCCCAACTGGGGACTCCAGATAGAAGAGGACTAATCAGAGCCAGGCTGGAAGGAAGGGAGCTTCATTTCTGGATGCTGACCTTTCAGGGCACACTGCCCTTCATAAAATGAGCCAGTGAACTCCCCCTGCTCAGACCAACCAGATTGGTAACTCTTATTCCTTAGAGGAGGATGGGGAGATATAGAACGTATTGGCTAAGGTGAAATCATGGGAGAAAGGCCTTAAGTGTTCTTTCTCCAGTGTTGGTCATTAATGTCATTATCATTTTCATCATAGTCTATAGCAGCATACTTTTATTGAGTAATTATTTCAAATTAAGCACTGTGATAATCTTTTGAGAATGAAGTTATTACCATGAAGAGGACCTTTTATAAAATTTAAAAAGGACC